TATTTATCTAATTATCCATTTCTCTATTTATTATTCAATATATATACACATTTGTTTAGTTATAAATCCTTTATACTTATCATTGATAAACATTTACTGATAATTATTAAATATTAATTAATTAATTAATTAATAATTTGATAATTACAATTCATAATAATTATGGTTATTATTAATGATAGCTATCAGATTGCTCTACTTACTTACTGAAGCAAAGTACAAAGATAACTAAATTAAAGACACACATCAAATGAAGTTTAACTTTTTGTCTAGCCTACCTCTGATAAGATTCATAATATTTTACATTAAGTTAAGCATTAGGCCACGCGTACGAATACAAATTACATAATACAATCACAAATCCCATACAAACTACAAAACTGTCCACTGTTCCACTGACTTACTTGTTTTTTGAGGAAAAAGAATTAAACAGCTTTTTTATTATTTTCAAATTTTATTATATAAACATATCAATTCCCTAACACCTAGATTTACTAACTAACTACTAAACCAAGAGTTTTACTTTAAATTAAAAATAACTTAAATTATTAAAATAACTTATTATATTCTCAGTAACATCAACATTATTTGTACCAAAAGTTGATTTAAAAGAATGAAGAGATGGCAAAATCAAACAAAAACAAAAACAAAAATGAAACATGCCATATTACATAAAAGTCATAATCAACATACTATGCAGTGTGCATACAACATTAACTACTACAACGTACCATAACACTACTACATATAAACTATAAAGATAAACATACTAACTATACTCTATAATAATAGATAATACTATACAACTACAACAACATACTATAATACTAGTACATAAAAAACTTTCTATACATACAACTACAACATACCACAATATACTACTACATAAACATACTACACATATACCACAACAACTACAACCTACTATATAATACTACTACATATAAACATACTATATACTATACTTACTCCTATACTATACAATTACAATACATACAAATTACAACTGCAACACAGCAACAGACTTGAGACATTTGTGGCCGATGATTGTAATCCTTAGAATCCGTGGACCCGGGACTGAGGCGATTGAGGAGGTGACAGAGCAGGACGCCATCTTTGATCAACTGAACGAACTCGATCAACTTCCCGTCTGCTTTTGATAAATGGTGATCCTCATCTAACAACTGACAGCGGATCAGCCAGTCCACACACAGACGCCAATCGTCTTTGGCCATTTATAACTTGATTTGAGCAAATTTTTATAGATCGTTATAATTTAATTTATTGAAAAATATTTTTTATGATATTTTTAGTTGATGTCTTTAAGCTTTTTTCTGTTAGTAAAGAAAAAATTAATCTCCGTACGATGGAAATCTATCAAGTTTACAATAATTAAAAATGGCCAAAAGTAAATCTAATTTTGTAGCGCTATGTTTTAAGTCTTATGACAAAAATAATTTTTTATAGATTCATTCTTTATAGATTCAATCATGATATATATAGTTAATATTAATGAAAACAAGAAGTTTTGTTTTTATCAACAAACGTTTTATTACAGTTACTGATTCATAACTATTACTATGTATAATTAGTTAAATGTTTATTGATAAGAATATGAAAAAAAGAAATAATTAAACAGCAATGCACATAAAGCGTGATTCAAAGATGGGAGACAATGTGAATTCTGAATTATAATTAATTATCCAGGGCTGGATTTTGAGATCTAGATACTACTGTTTTTAGAGACCAAATCTTCATTATCTTAACAATTTTCATGTAACATCAAGGCAAGTCATCCGACAAATACAAAGCAGTTCACGCGACTCTGAAGTGAGAATTGAAAACTCGCCTGACAGTCTGTTCTTTTTCTTTTTTTTTAATTTCTATTTTTAATTAATAAAAATGTTGCTAACAACTCTGTGTCAAAAATAAGTTTATAAAATTGTATTATGCCCGGTAGAGTACGACCAATGCAATTTGAATTTGCTTCATTGACTTTCAATCTTTTATTATTTCAGTAACTAGATGGTAACTTTTAAGAGGGGGGGGGGTGATTC